TAAATAATTTAAAAATTAAAAGAATAAAATATCATAAATATTATTTAAATAAATTATTAAAAATATAAAATATAAAATAAAATTATAATTACAACTATACCGAAACCCTCTCAAACAATGTGGGTACCATAGAATTTCTCTTATTTTTTTTAGCATTTCTTTTCGCGTAATAAACCCTTCATTTGTGAAATGTCCATTTACCGGGTCAACAAACATTGGAAAAGTTTGAATTTATTAATTATAAAAATTAAATTTTATATTACTTTCTTGATTTTCTTTTTTTTGGTTCGTCCCTGGAGTATCCACCGCCGACAGCAGTGACTAATATTACTTTCTTAGTTTAATAAATATTTATTTGATTTCTATACTTACACAAATTCTACCTTTTAGTTACTATACTTTAAAATTATAATTTTTAGTACTTATTATACAATTTACCTTTGGATCTCTATTGTTAAAAACATTGTTAAACGAGAGATAATATAACAGTGACATGTATTGTCCTTTATATCGCAGTATAGCTTGTACTATTTTTATATTTTGGTCTCTACAGTTAGACAATTTTCATATAGAAATTAATTAGTCATTTTAGTTCACATGAATAATTTTTTTTTATATCGTTAGTTTTTATCAACAATATTGTTTCTTTCTTCTTCCCTTCCTTCTCTTTGACCTTAAATTGAAGAGTCTTGAAGTTCCAAAGTTTGGACACACTTAAATGATAAGACGATGTAAGATGTAAGTAGCAATTTATATTTACACTTTTAAAAACGACAAAATCTTTCATATTACCTTAATCTGCATAAAACATTTAGGTATATGATGTACTAAGCCATGCATTATTTTAATCATTTAAATCCTTCTATATTAAAATTTTGGACATTAATTTAGTCATTTAAATCCTTCTATATCAAAATCTTGGATACAGTATGAACAATTTTTGTATGTTTTAATCTTTATCATTACCAAAGAAATGTTATTTTTAGGTTCTCTAACAATTTCACAAAATTGAAAGTAACATACCTTGGGTGAGGGGATTACAATCAATCATACGACAAAATTTATCCGTCTCTAATAAATAGGAATTAATAATTTTCACTATTGTGATGGAATTTGTCGCTCTCTAATAATGAGAGATTTGTTATTCATCACTATTAATGAGGGGATTTGTCCCTCTCAATTAGGGATGGATAAAAATCCCAATCTTTTACAAATAAACTTATTACTATACCTCTAATTAATATGATGAATTTAAAATATTAATCCGGCTTAAAATTGTACAAAAATCATTTTCCAAAATTTAATAAATTTAATTTTGGTATAAAATATAATATTTAATACACTACAAAAAAAAATGTGTGATTTGTGGCGGTTATATTGTAGTTTCTGGCGGTTAAACACCGCCACAAATTGCATTATCGGCGTCATTAATAAACTCCGGATCTACAGTAGCTAAAAAACCGTTTGTAGCGGATATTTTGTAAACGCTACAGTAGCCAAAAAACCGTTTGTAGCGGATATTTTGTAAACGTTGGTTAGAAAATTCAATCTCTTTGTGGCGGTCTGAAACCGCCAAAAAATGCATCTTCGTTTGACTTGTTTGACATTTTCTGGCGGTTTAAAACCGCCACAAAATTGCAGTTCTGATGATTTTATATTGCCAAAATATATATTTTTTATTTGTCTTGCATTTTCTGACAATTTTAAAACGTCAAAAATACACTTTATTTTACTGTAATTTTTTATTTTTAAAATATATTTGAAATTATTTTAAAAGCGCATTTTTATTATAAATTTACAAATAATATTTTATATTTTAGGCATTTATCAAATTATTATTGAAAATTATCACTAACCATATTAATCATTAAAAATTAATAATGACTATATTATATTATTATTTAATTCAAGTAATTTATAAATAAAAATTTTACTTGTCGAATTCTAGAATCACTTATTTTAGTAAATTCTACCTAAAATATAAAAATAATTACATAAAGATACATTAAATTAACAACTTTTAACATTATAAAAAAAAAATCAAGACAACATCTAGCCATAGGTCACTACTAGAATTTCTCTTATTACATGCGACTTTTCCTGCGAATTTTTCATAAAAATTTGCAGGAAACGTTGTTCCTACAAATTTTTCTGCGAAATTTTATTTGCAGGTAATACCTTTGTGGATAATATATTCTTGTGAATTTTAAGAAAGTTATATAGTTTGAATTCTAAATTTCAAATTCAAATTGAATGTGGATCCTTTTAGCCAAATCGAATAAAACTAATGTCATAAATAAGTTCCAATCAGGCTAGCACAGTTAGCCCATGAGTTGTTCGCTTTATATATAATTAAGAGATAAAGATTAAATAAAATTATAACTGATATAAATAAACTTTTGTCCTAAACCATAAATTAAATCACTCGGTCCCTATTATAAGTTGTTTCAATTGTAATATCATGATCGCCATTACTTCAATATAAAATGCAATCTTGATACCAATATGGGTAGATAACCCACCCAAAAATTTCCCTTTATCATTTCTAAATATTCCACCACCTATTGCATGACTTGGACAACCAACAACTACCCTATTTGTATTTCATTTGAAAAATCCACATGCTATGCCAATTGACTTATATGATCCTTGGAGGTTTGGGGGGATGAATAATGTGGGAAAGTTGCTTAAGCAAGTGAACATCAATCCAAGAATAATAAATACAACTATTTACCAAAGTACTTGATATATAACAAAATATATGATTATACCAACACAATGACCTTCTCAAGAAAAATAACTATATTATTAAAACGAACTTGGTTTCTATCACTACAAAAAAAAATGTGTGATTTGTAGCGGTTATTTTCCTGATTCAACATTTCTGGCGCTTTCAAACCGCCACAAATATGCATTTTTTTTTTACTTTTCTCATCTTTTCTGTTAAACCACATAACATAATTTTTTTTATTTACTTAAATATTATTTTTTGAAAATGAAAAACATTATTAAAACAATTTTTTACTGTCATAACCATTGGAAAAGAAAAAAAAATAGATGTTATAAGATTTGACATATGTTAAATAGCAAAATGCAGCCATGTGCACTTAAAAGCTCAAGCAGGCCAACATACATCCATGTGATTGCATTTGTTGGTCGGATAGCACAAGCAAATGCAACCACAACTAAACCCTAAACCCCACTTCCTTGAAACAAAGGAGCAGTTACTTTTAGATCTCAAGCATGGCCAAACTTATAGAGACACTAGTGTAAAAACAGTCTCCAAGTTATTCGATAGCGTTCGAGAAAAACAATAAAACATAAACCAATACATGTCCAGAGATTACAACAGGCAAAACACACACAACTAAGTTAACCAATGCCTATATGCACTCTCAAAGAGCCTTGCACACGTGGTGATTATAAAATGGCCTTCCCACTATGTATTTTCTCCTCAATGAACATTTACAATCAAGATCTTTAAAAATCATAATAATTATGACACGAGGCAAGATTATGATAACTTTGTTTTTTAGACAAAGCCAATAGGAAACCTTCTAATAAAGGTTAGAAATCTTAAAATTATACCAAGATTTGAGAAGTCTTTGAGTGATAGATGACAACAAAAATTAGAAAAATGTCCAAATAGTTTTGGTGATATTAACATGAAGATTTAAGTGATGTACATGAATTCTCTCTTAAACAAATAATTAACAGAGAACATATCAAACTCTGCAAGGAATGAACTATCAGTACCTTTCTCTTGAAAATCTTTATCTGTTTTTACAAAGCCAGCAACCAAAGCCCTGGGCAATGCTACTATCCACTCATCTCTGTTCAGATCTGAAGGAATTGCACTTAAAACATTATTTAGAAGATTCTCCTTGGCATAAATAGCAGCAGCAGATCCATTGTGTCCATCAAATAGTTGTAAAACTTCTGAATCAGAAAATGCAACCAGGAAAAAAAAAACAAGAGCTGTAAATCTGGAATCTTATATTTTTGAACGTCCGATTCTTTGGTTCGGTTATGAAACTCTTGAAGAACCTGGCATAAATACACACAAGCATTAGTTAGAAAATATTTTTCGAACAATGGTCTTTCTATTATTTATATGCTCAAGAAACCTTGCTGATATCAGTTGGTGACGGGCTTATCATAACCAAGTTGAGCGTTTTATATTTGATTATATGCTAGCAAACTAATCTATGAAATTTTATCAAGGATCTTTCGAGCCATTAGTAACATCTATGATTTATATTTAGATAATCACAATAAGAGCCACGTTCTCTGCATCAACTTTAAGAGCTAGTAAACTTAGTAACTCTGCTTATTGCATCAATGTGTTTATCTTTGGGTCATCCTTTTTACGGAATGTTCCTTGAATCTTATCGTTTTGGACTGCAAAACCATGATAAACGAAGAGTTGCATTAGAATGATAGGTGACCAATGTTATTTCAGCAAGAAATGGAAGGGTCAAAACATATAAAGAAACATCACTGCCAATTTTTTGCATTTTTTAGACATAGCATCTATGCCTTGCTCTGCTGTTTCAATTGAAATTTGTAGTGACCTTGTGCAAGCATCTATAAAACCACCAGACTCTTTAATTGATCTCAAAAGTAGATCCAATTCTTTAGTCATCTCATTAATCTAGTGGAGAGAAAGGAAACAAAGAGCAGTACAATCAGGACTCCTAGCATAATTTAATAGCAGAGAAGAGAAATACATAACAATACAATCAACATTCCTCATTATAGCACAAATGACTAGATAAAACAAGAAATTAATCTATCCACATCAATAATGCCATCTTACAGGCACAAGATCTAACATTTATATGTTGAAACTATGAAAGGTTTTCAGAAATAATACTTTGCCAAACTGCTTTGATAAATCGGAACTGGATATCCCATCCTTGGATGAAGTTCCATGCTGCTCATTAGAAGGATGCAACTTTCGAGCAGATGACTTTCCGGTGGCAGTATTTCCATCAGATGTTAGGGCAATGTCTCTATGGATTGGTGTCTTCCATGGCTCCCACCTCGAATTCAAAGTGCAGAGGGATCCATAAACATCTTATTCTATAAAATATTGAAAAATGCAAAAACGAAAAAGAAAGAAAAGAGTTAGGGTTTGTACCTTGAATTAGGAGAGAAAAGAACACCTCACAAATGGAATCGCCTTACCGAGAATGTGACTGAATGTGAATTGCGATTAAAGGAAAGCAAGAAAGAAAGGCTGGGAGTGAGTGAGGGATTCAGAGTAAGCGAGTGAGAAAAGAATATGGAATGAAGTTTTTGATTTTTATTTTTTAAAAAAATAATATAAAAAATGGTTGCCACGTGTGACATACAGGTATTTAAATCTTGTGGCAGTTTTAAACCGCTGAAAATATCAGTATTTTGTGGCGGTTAAAATAACTGTCAGAAATATAATATTTTGTGGCGGTTTTTTGAAACCGCTAGAAAAAAACCCCTACTAATTACATAATTTTTTGTAGTGTATGGTGCCAAATTTCTCATATCACTCGCACAAAAGCAATAAATAAAACATCTTCAACTTGTCCATGCTATAATCTATTGAAGGGTATCATCACAGGTATGATATAAGAACGATCTAATGGATGGTTAATAATATGTTGCAACCAAGACCAGATTGAAATAGCAAACTAATAATGGTAAAACAAATGATCTAAAGTCTCATTAGAGGAACTACAATAGACATCATTGTTATACCTCTTAATTGCAAATTGTCATTAGTGGGAACTTTATTATGTAACAAACGCCAAATTAAACAGGTCCTAGGGAGGAATAGATTTCGACCATATCACCAAGGCCCAAGGTTGTTGTTGTGGCCTAGGTTGAAGAAAATGATAAGCCTCACGAAAATTAAAGACACCACCATTAGAGTGCTTCCAAATAGGTTCATCCTCCTCTTGGATGGCTAATGAAACACATAATCTATTCACATAAGTTCACTTGTATAGTTTATTCGTTATTTATAAATAGAGTGTTTTGCGGTGTAAAACTTCCCCACCATATCCATGAAATACACATACTAAAAATATTAGTCTTATAAAAAAAATACACAATTCATGACCGTGTGAATACAGGAAAGCTGCTCTCTGGAATGAAAAACCTTTTGTCCCGAGGAACACTGCTCATGCAGCCGAAGACATTCATAAAATGTGACGAATGGAAAGAAAACAAAACTCGCCCAAGACTATTGCCCACACTCCACACCATAGACACCAATCGGCTACCCCTCTTGTTGAAGGTTACTCCAAATGTGACATTGATGCTACATTCGAAAAGGCGAAAACAATAGTTTTGGGATAGGTACATGTTTGAGAGATACATAGTAATTGCCATTTTGTGAAAGTCTTCTCGAACACAAGCTTTACATGCCTAAAGTTAGCAAAGGTAAAAATATTTTATGCCTAAAGCCCTTGCACTATGGTGTCATCAATTGGATAAAAGGGAAAAATATCCCACCATATTCTTTTATTCGATTGAAATATTAATTCCAAAAAAATTAAAATTGAAAAAATATACTCTTTGCATTTTTTATATCTTATATTAGGCTGTAATTTTGAAAAACAATTAAAAAGAACAATATTAAGATAAAAACTATTAATTTATTTATTAGTAATATTTTTTTAAAAAAATATTGTAATAATATAATAACTTAATTTATATTGACATTTTAATAAAATTAATTAGATAAATATGTTATTGAAGAAATTAAATGTAGTAAATTCTCGGTGAAACGATCCAATTAGTTACGGTCAGCTTCCAACATAAGCTTTTTTGAATTTTGAACACGTAAATCAAAATAAATATGTTTGCAATTAGATTATAATGATAATTATGATCATCAAAAAGATTCCAATGATAATTTTGTTTTTAATTTTCTTCTACTATACCCACCTAAATTTAAGGTTCCATTCAAAGTTGCGTTATATCCTTAAATAAAGGCTTTGATAAAACAAAGATTTAGCATATAGGAATTTTACATTGATTAACGTATAGAATTATAATTTACGAGATAGTGTGGTATAATTGACCAATAATCATATTTGTAAGCATTTTCGTGTACATATATAGAAAATCATAAATGTCGAAACTCTAACCAAGGATGATCACCGGGAATATTAAAATTATTCTTTATTTTTTTTTAATTCAAAGAGAATATATTCAAAGTTAAATATAAGAGATGCTAAAAAAAAAAGTTGCACAAGAGAACTTATGAGTTATGAGTTATAACAAACCACTAACAAATTCAAGAAAAAGTGAGCATATATGCTGGAACTCAAAATTACATGTTAGGTTTAAATAATCATGTATCGGTGATTCATACCCTTATGCTTGACATGTTTGATTTATTATTAGAATCTTTAATTGCTAAACTTAAGTTTAACAAAACATATTATAATGTCTCATTTACGGGAAAACAAAATGTAAAGCTCAATGAATCCATCGAAAACTGGTCGTACATTGCCCAGGATGCTGATCTTTTCCAATCTTTACGCTCAGCACAGGTATTACCATCTTTTCAAACAAAACAAAATAGAAAGAAGAGCAAGCAATGCAAGTAAAACAAGCTAAGGAAGTCCATTGAGAAGTGTTTTCCACTGCAAAGTGCAAACAACCCGTGAGAAAACTTAGCATGAGAGTCAAGTTACTAACACTCAATATTTTTCCTATAAATCCACAGCAAAATAACACTCAAGCCACAGCACCCCCAACTCAGAAAACAACTCTCGAAACATCAATTGATTGACAGAACACAAAGAAAAAAAAAAGCCAAAATGGTATCAAGTCAACCCAACAACTACTTTCCAAATTTCCCTCCTCCATCACCTTCCCACCCTTTCAATCCTCCACCACCACCTTCACATTTTTTCAACCCTCCACCACCGCCACCTCATTCATTTTCTTCTCCTCCTCCTCCTCCACCATTCCGATCACCACCGCCTCCGCCGCCGTCACCTAGTCCTCCTTTTTCTCCTCCACCCCCTAAGGTGCGGCCACCAAATATATTCAAAGTTAAATATAAGAGATGCTAAAAAAAAAAGTTGCACAAGAGAACTTATGAGTTATGAGTTATAACAAACCACTAACAAATTCAAGAAAAAGTGAGCATATATGCTGGAACTCAAAATTACATGTTAGGTTTAAATAATCATGTATCGGTGATTCATACCCTTATGCTTGACATGTTTGATTTATTATTAGAATCTTTAATTGCTAAACTTAAGTTTAACAAAACATATTATAATGTCTCATTTACGGGAAAACAAAATGTAAAGCTCAATGAATCCATCGAAAACTGGTCGTACATTGCCCAGGATGCTGATCTTTTCCAATCTTTACGCTCAGCACAGGTATTACCATCTTTTCAAACAAAACAAAATAGAAAGAAGAGCAAGCAATGCAAGTAAAACAAGCTAAGGAAGTCCATTGAGAAGTGTTTTCCACTGCAAAGTGCAAACAACCCGTGAGAAAACTTAGCATGAGAGTCAAGTTACTAACACTCAATATTTTTCCTATAAATCCACAGCAAAATAACACTCAAGCCACAGCACCCCCAACTCAGAAAACAACTCTCGAAACATCAATTGATTGACAGAACACAAAGAAAAAAAAAAGCCAAAATGGTATCAAGTCAACCCAACAACTACTTTCCAAATTTCCCTCCTCCATCACCTTCCCACCCTTTCAATCCTCCACCACCACCTTCACATTTTTTCAACCCTCCACCACCGCCACCTCATTCATTTTCTTCTCCTCCTCCTCCTCCACCATTCCGATCACCACCGCCTCCGCCGCCGTCACCTAGTCCTCCTTTTTCTCCTCCACCCCCTAAGGTGCGGCCACCACCGCCGCCACGCCGTCCGATTCGTCCTCCACTGCCGCCACCACGCCCTATTCGTCCTCCACCCCTTCCTCCTGCCCCAGTTCCACCTTCACCCTCTCCGAACAACCCCACAATCATAATAGTCGTGGTTGTCTCACTTGGTGGCCTCGTGTTGCTCTCAATGCTTGCTTTTGCCCTATTCTGCTGCTTTCAAAGGAGGAAGAAGAAGAACACGCAAGAAACCGAGGTCATTCACTTTGATGAGCACAAAAAGATAAATGAAACCATCGTGCCTGGTCCTTTTGGACGCAATACAGTAGTGGTAACAGTTGAAGATGATGTGCATATCGATGAAGAAATCAAGAAGAATGAGAAAGTTGGTCATGGTTTGCATGCAAAATCATCTTCACCTGAAGCAGATCAAGGTACTTCTAGCAGCATTGTTGAGGTCGCAACTACTCCTCCTGCACCTCAACATCATGACGAGCATCATCACTAGCCTCAAAACAAGCCCTGATTGAAAGAAGTACTAGTACAACACACGAAGAATTGCATATTCTTGTTCAAAGTTTCCCAAGAAGGGTCCTTTCATTTATCTTAAATTACTCCGGTGAATAAATACCCTTAATCCTTGATTTGTTAAATCTCCTTCTACATCTACAAGTAATTATTGTTCCGTCTCCATGATTAATCACAAATTAAGATTTATCTTCTAAATTAAAACTTATATAATTACAAGAATAAATAATCTGAGACATCAGATAACACTATATTTAAGGAATTATTGTGTAATGTCCAATAAATTTTCTAAAACATAACAAGTTTTTCTTAATAATAATTTAGGTAATAGAACTAACTGAGAACAACCCAATAAATCATAAGAGAAAAAGAGATAAAGAGATAAAGGATACGTAGAAGAGTACACAATAAAACCTTTGGAAATATCATATTTATAATAAAGAAAGAGGATAAAATAAAAACTACTTTTATAGGATCAAGTCAAAAAATAAGATAAGATGAGACTCCATTTAAAATATCAAGTCAATAAAACTAAATTAATTAAAATATTTATTTAATAAAAACAATTTTAATTTAATAGATATATTAATCATTTTGAAATATTCGCTCAAATTATACAACAATTATCAACTGTAAATAAAAAAGTTAGATGAAAAAGTTATTTTTCTAATCTTCGTATTCTAGTTTTTCCTGTCACTTTTTTTTTCTCATAACCATATAATTAACAGTTTCATGTAGTTGAACATCACAAAAATAATAAAATTGATAATTTTAAAGAGATTATCTGTCATATATCTCTTATTATTTGTCTATCTTTAATTATGTTAGATATTTAATATATTTGTACATAACAAATTAATATATTAGGCAACCTTTTAGGACAAATTTCTAGAGACCAGATTCTTAGAGATATCACTCTTGTATATATTCATGTATTTTTGAAGAGGTTATTGACAAAACAAGATTGTTCTTTCCCGACATTAGAGTTTGTTAGATTAAAGGATGATCTAAGACTAAGACTTCTCAAAACTTATTTAATGTTAACAAATGTAAAAGGTTAATTTCAAAAACGATATTGTAACTGTATGGAAAGGCAATATTGAAAGTTAAAAATGCATAATAATCCTTTAGACTGAACACTTTGTCTATCTAAGAAAAATGTTTTAAATATCACATTTAATATGTTTAATATTTTTTTCACCTGTTTTCATATTATTCCTTAACATATCAAAGAAATATAGGTTTTTTTGGTACTTGCAACGTATAAAAGAAAGATAATTTATTTTTCATAAAAAAGGATGAACATTTATCTCGAAATATGTTAGCTAAAAGTCATTCTTAATTGACACACGCAACAGTTCCTTCTTTTTTAACCATAAAGGTGATAAGTGACTCCTTTGATCAAATAAGAAGTGACCTTTTGTAAAACACATTTCATAATTTGTTATTTTACCCAACTTAAACTAGCATTTTAGCTTGAAGTCTGAAGAAGCTTTATTATTTAAAGAATATATGGTGTTGAAACTTGAAGAGGTTTTGTTGTTTAAAGAATATTTGGGTAATTTTCTTGAATAAGCAAATCAATGAATATTTAGGTTGAGACAAAAATAACTTGTGAAAGAATATTTATATATTTTTGAAAGATAGTGAAAGTTGGTCAAACTGATCAAGAACTGAATGTAATCATGGTGGTTAAGACAAACTGATATAAAAATACCTTTGTTTTTACTTTGTCTACACTTATTTGTTCATATATGACTACTCCACTATTTCAAAAAAGTTGTAAAGTTTTTTATAGACATTATTCAACCTCCTTCTAGCATCTTTCTTTTCTCGACAAAGCTCTTTATGGTATTAGAGTATACTTTTGTTGATAGAAAAACAATTCCACCAAAAGAGTGAGTCACTTCAACACCTAAGAAATATTTAAGTTTTTTTAGGCCTTTCATATGGAAGCAAGTATGCAAACAATCCTTGAAAAGGTCAATAGTTGTCTGATCATTTTCAAAAATGTTAAGGTGGTCTAAATAAACCAAAACTACAAGTAACATCTCTTATTTCTAAAAAGAAAAGAAAAAAGAGTAATTGAAAAGTGATTCTTTGAAACAATGTTCCTTCAGTGAAGTATACAACTTTGCAAATCAACCCCTAGGATCCTGCTTAAGCCCATAAAGATCACCTCTTGAATGGACACAACATCTCAAGGTCACGAACAGTTAGGGATGGGAATAAATCAGACCTTAAATAAGAGTCTATGACTTGACCTCTTTAAAGTCTAGTCTGACCTGATTTGTTTAATAAAAAGAGCAAGTTTAGACTTTTAAAAAAACCTATTTATATAAAAAGGCTAGACTTAAACTTATAGAAAGGTTTATTAGATCTGATAGGTCAGCCTATTTATTTATATAATATATATAATTAAAAATTAATATACATATATTATTAAAAATAAACATAAACAAATAAATTTAAAAAACAAAAATAAATTATCAATATTTAAAATATTTTTATACAATTTTTTTCCATTATAGACTTATAAGCATACGACCTATGCATGAGTATATATCAATATGCATGATTATGTATGAATTTTCCTTTCAACAGAAAATGATTTAATTTTTCTCCTATATTTCTTTTAAAATTTAAATTTTAGTAATATTAAGTAGACTATATTTTAAAAATAAATTTGTTGATTTTTAAAAAAATTAAGTTTATTGGCTTAATTAACATTATTAATTTAAATAGACTTTTAAATAAATTAATAGGTCAGATAAGCTTTTAAAAGGTCAGGCCAAGCCTATAAAAGTATATGATAAATAATACGCCAGACCTTTTAATTTTACAATACATGTTGAATTTATATATTCAAAGTCTGACTTGTCCTATTCTCATCCCTACAAACAGCCAAGTCAGATAATGGCTTCATATACACCACCTCTTTAAGTTTCCCATGCAAGAATGGATTGTGAACATCCATCTGATGCAATTCTAAATCCCATTTTTAGTTGCTACTGCCAACATTGTACACATTGTCACCATTTTTAAAACTAGAGCAAATGTCTCGATATCAAACCTTTCCACCGAATTATTGTCAAGAATAACTAAGCATGCTTTAAAATTTTTATGCTTCTATCATATTTATGCTTAATTTTATAGACCCATTTTTGGGGAAAGCACTTTTTTTCCATAGGGTAAGTGTATCGATGCCTAAGTTCTACTATTTCAAGAGCTCATATCTCATCGACCATGACTTTCCCCAATATGGTAAAGAAAGTTCTTATAATTCACGTAATCTAATATGGGATAAGGATCACTAAAGCATAATATTGTTGATGAGGATGAATGGTTGAATATGCTCCTTCTTTTAGTAATGTCAATAATAAATTCTCGTATTAGAAAAAATGTTTGTTTCACTTTGTGTCTTTTACCCAAAAGAGTTTCCTCTAGTAGCACCAATGTGTTGAGGGATGCATCTATTAAATTAGAAGCCATTTGTTCAACAAGTTCCTCATTTAGCTCACTTCTTTTATCATATATCCACTACGATTACACTTTCTACAAAATCTTATTGAGGCTCCTCACAAGGCATCTCTTTTATAAATTCATCAAAATTTCCAACATTTTGATCACCTTGCTCTCTCGATGTATTGTCACTAGCAACAAGGTTCATTGGCTCAACAAGTTTAGCATCTTAAGAGGAAAAGATCTCTCATGTCTCCAAATGAAACAACTTCCACCCCTTTTTACCATATGGATACTGAATAAAGACACATGCTCTACTTTGACTTGCAAATTTATCTCCTTTCCTTCCTTGATGATGAGCATAACATAATCATCCAAAAAACCTCAAATGTTCATTCATGGGTTTCTGTTCGTGCAATATCTCATGAGGAATTTTTCCATTTAACATCGTGGAGGGAGTTTGATTGATTAGATAACTTGCAGACAAAATACATTATCTCCAAGATTTAGAATGAAGACTTCCAAGGAATAAAATAAAATAAAAATTGTAAAATGAATCACATAAAGAGATAAACATCGAGTTAAGAAGATCAAGTTAAAGAAGCAAACATAATAGATTAGTATTAATATTTAGACTACGAGATGAATGTTAAAAGGAACACACATAAGGGAGGTTGAATGTGTGAGAGTGTATTTTATAAGTCTTTGCTTTTTTTTTTCTTTTTTTTGCATATGAAGAGATATAAGTTTGTTAACAAGGTTCATTGAAAAAGCGTGAGGGAAAAGGGATAAAATAAAACACTTAACGTTTTTATACTTGTTCACATAATTGAGCTACTTCTAGTCACCTTCAAACTCAAAGGGTTCCATTAACTTGGAAACATTTTACAATAAGTATTTTTCACTGCCACTTCTAGCTACAACAAGTATTCTCAATGCCATTTTTGACCAACTCGTAACAACACATTGAAGTATTCTTTAACTAACCTTTTTAGGCTTCGACAACAAAGGTCTGAAGTGTTCTTCAAAACTAACTCTCATAGAGAGAATAAAGCATTAGGTACAGTAAAGGGAGATTAAACTTTCTAGGCAAGGATAGCTAAAACTTGCCTCTGATCATCCACTAGACGATGACTTAAATCACATATAGATTTAGAGAGGTTTTTACAAAGTTTTCACATAATGTGTAAGCATTTTTACAATATTCAAAAAAAGTTTTTCTCACTACAAAAAATATGCAATTTAGCGACCACCAAAATCGGTCGCTAAATTGCAAAAATCAGTCGCTATTTACCTTAGCGACCGAATTAGCGACCGAACTTAGCGACCAAATTAGTGACCGATTAAATCGGTCGCTAAATATTTATTTTTTATTTTATTAAATTTTATAGACATCGCAAATTTGGTCACTATGAACCACTCATATTTGGCTTCTTAAGGATTTTATTTCACAATACTTAAGTTTTTAGCATATTTTGTCCTTAATTACACAATTTTTGAAAACTTTCCAGAAGGTCACCCATACCTACATTACTCCAAGTCAAGCACGCTTAACTGTGAAGTTCTTATGAGATAAGCTACCGAAAAGCAAATGCATGTTGTTAGTATAGGTAGTACAAATTAATTCATTTAAGTCAACCTCAACTATTCAATCTCATACTTATATTATTTTTGGATCCTTATCATTTTGGTATATCCGGACCGTTATAAATATATAATAATTATATTACTACTAATAATAATTATATTATATTTAAATAATATTTATTTATATATATACTTACTTTTATAATTAACAATCTACTTATTTCTATTTAAAATTAATTTTATGATACAATTTAAATTATTTATTATAAAATTAAAAGTTTAAGTAATAATTTATATATTTTAAAATGAGAAGGGTTATAATAACACTGATATAACTTTTACTAAGTATTACATTGTTCAATAACTTTATATTAAATGTGAATTTTGTAAATCCAACCGTTAAATTGAAAGTTCATATCACTTTATATGTTTATATCAAGTTTTGTTAAAATTGAACAACAACTTGAAGGTAATCAAAGTGCTCATATTTTAATATATTTTGAAATGTATATGTTACGTCAATTTTATTTTACAAGAATGAAGTATCAAATCATCTTGAATTCATATAAAATTTTGTATATATGATCTAAGAGTAAAAAACTTTCAATCTAACGGTTGAATTTATAAAATTCACATTTAATATAAAGTTATTGAGCGATGTAATACTTAGTAAAAGTTACACCGATGTTATTATAACCCTTCTCTTTTAAAATATTATTTTTATAAATTAAATTTTAACATTTTAAATAAATTATTAATTAACTTAATATATTTATTCATCTTAAATCTAAGATATAAAATTCAAAAAATGTATTTATCCTTGTTTTATTTTCTAATTATCAACCATTAATAAAATACTAATTTAAAATTTAAATATAAAAATTCATTTAAAAATAAAGTTATCATAAGTTAGAAATATATATTATAAATATGGATCAAAATAAATAAGAAATTTTAAAATTCATATACTCTAATTAAAAAACTGCCTAAAAATCTAATCGTAAAAAAAAACCTCTAAATATTTTTTCACATAAATAACTATTGGTATTAATTATGTAGGAGTGCATATAAATATTTTTTTTAATATAAATTAATGTCTTGCTCTTACAAAAAAAAGAAAATGGGATTGATACTCAACAAAAATATTATCATCACTTTTAAGCAATTTATAAATTTTTTTAAGTTTTACTTAGTGACCGAATAGAATTTCGTCGCTAACTTTAACTAATATTTAGCTACCGAATAGAATTCCGTAGCTAATTTTAACTAATATTTAGCAACCGAATAGAATTACATCGCTAATTGTAACTAATATTTAGCGATTGAATTTAATTATGTCGCTAAAAAAATCAAAATTTCTTCTTTAGAGACCGAATTCAATTTCGCCACTAATTTTAACTAATATTTAGCGACCAAATTTAATTCTGTCGCTAAAAATCAAAATTTCTGATTTAGTGACCGAATTAAATTCCATCGCTAAAAAATCAAAATTTCTAATTTAGCGACCGAATTCAATTCCGTCGCTAAAAAATCAAAATTTCTAATTTAGCGACCGAAATAGCGACCGAATTCAATTTGGTCGCTAATTTTAACATACTTAGCGACCGAATTCAATTCGGTCGCTAATTTTAACTATTATTTAGCGAATGAATTAAATTCCGTCGCTAAAAAGAATCAAAATTTATAATTTAGCGACTGAAATAGAGACCGAATTTAATTTCGTCGCTAAAAAAAATCAATTTATAATTTAGCGACCGAAATAGTGACCGAATTTAATTCCGTCGCTAAAAAATCAAAAAAATTTATTTAGCGACCGAAATAACGACCGATTTTCTAGCGACGACTTATTTTGGTCGCTAAATCGGTCGCTATTTTGATTTTTCATAATCGGTCGCTAAATCAGTCGCTAAATAGCGACTGATAAATTTCGGTCGCTAATTTCGGTCGCTATTTTGCAATTTTCTAGTAGTCTATTTCCTTTCTTCAACTCTTTTTCTATTTATAGGCTTTAGAGATGTATTTATTGGTGAAAAACCTATACGTGGTTGTTTGAAAAGGGATCTTTGGTCTTTATAATATGGTCTCTCTTCAACATGCGTTTAGATGCTTTATGACTTCATAAATGCTTTGGCATAATGAGGAAATGAAACAGAGAGTAAAAACTTCTAAACGCACTATTTCATGTACTAATAATTCATTTTATGGTTGACTTTTCTTTTTTAGATGTTGCACTTGGTTCAGACATATTGTACCATTCTACGCACAATCACAAAATGGAAATAAAGCATAATAACATTTATAACATGCATAGATTATCAAAGCACTTATAAGGTATACTTTTTGAATGTTTGAATATGATTTTAAGAGGCACAAAATGTTCAAACAAGCATTGTACTTGTAAACAACTACAAGACACAGACACTTGTCACAACGCGTTAGATAGTGGACATAGGTGTTAACTATCTTAACTTCTAAGTGTTGTAGTTGTCTCGATTTTACACATTTGTAAAAGATGTTAATTAATAAAATATTTTTAGATCTTTATTCCTTCTACATCTTGGACACATGCTTCTTGAAATGACTTAACAAAATATTAGTAACTTAAGTTATCACTTTCACTACAACATTTTTATATTAGGCAACGAGTTTTTAGGCAACGCCTAAAAAAATGTTCTCGAAATATAGAATAAGCAACAATTTTGTAAACTGTTGGCATTTTGTTTGACAATAATCATAAAATCGTTCCCAAAAGCACATATAGGCAACAAATTTGTAAACTGTTGGCATTTTATTTGACAACAATCATAAAACCGTTCCCAAAAGCATATATAGGCAACAATTCATCAAAGCGTGCACTATTCTCTTTTCGATATTAATAAAACTATTCTTGCACTACTAAGAAAAATACCTTCACACCCCCTTCCCCACCTCTTCACATACCCTTCCTCATCTCCCAACCCCACACCCTTTCTCTCTTCATCATCGCCCTCTCCACCCCCTCCCTCGCCCTCTTCCGTTGCCTCCACTACTACAAAATTATTATTTTACATCATTATATTTTACAAAATTATTATTTTACATCATCACCCTCTCGACACAACACTTTGGTGGGCACTCTCGCGGGCTCTGGACAGAACACATATGGTCACTAGAGGCACCCCTGGGCGACGCCGACAAGCTCAAGCCCCACATCGCCCTCTCCAACCTCTCCCTCCCCTCCGACTACGCCGTCGCCATGGTCGTCTCGCGCCTCGCCCACGGCCTCTCTGCCAAAACCCTAGCCTCCCGCTATTCCCTCAAACCCTACCTCGTCTCCAAAATCACCAACATGGTCACGCGCCTCCTCGCCACCAAGTTCTACCTGGAGTTCATTAAGATCCCGGTGGGACGGCGCCGCCTCCTGGAAACCACCCAGGCCTTCGAGGAACTCACCTCCCTCCCCAACATGTGCGGCGCCATCGACACCACCCCCGTCCACCTCCGCTCCAACCCTAACCCAACACCTACCGTTGTCGCTACGAATTCCTGGGTCGCAATGCAGGCTGGCATTGACAAGCTCGTCGATGCTGTTGGCCTTACTCTTGGGCCCAGAGGTGGGCCTGGGCCTTAGCCATTCTAGATTGAAAATCACTCACACTTTTGAAAACATGTTGACTTTGTTATTGAGGTTTCATCTATTTACGCATGGGGTGCGCGAATTACCGGGACTCAATCAATTGGCAATGCTGCATTAGTGGGATTGGTTCCGCGAGATTCTTTATCTTATATGCTAATTCCCAAGGTTAGGGCACAAGATTAAGAAGCACACTTAACCTTGATCTTTAGTTACACATTAGCTTTGTTAACAGTGATCAGCTTCCTGTGTTAAGGTATGTTTATTTGTAATTTTGTTGCCTTATGCTATGATGCTTTTGTTGATATACGAGGTTTCATTGAAGCATATATGGGTTACATCTTACGTGAACATGTTTTTGCAGAATTGTTGTGTTTGCCTTCTGAACATTTTCTTGTTTTGTTGAACAGCGCTGGAAATTTTAGTGCCTGACTTACTACTGTACTGAGGAATTCATTTCATGTATTTT